AAATAGATACTTTATTAATATTATCTTTAACTTAGGTAACGTAAAACTTTTATATATTATTTTTAATTTAGAAAGAACTAAAAGATTAATATAAAATACCTAAGCTAATAAACTATATATATAGTATATCTATATATCTATAGAATTATACTTTCTATTTTAGCGCTTATAGAGATAGCTATAGTAAAATATAATAAATAGCGCATTACTTTAGAAGAGCTTAAGTAGTTCTTTAGTAATAAAAAAGTACGTAACTTACTATAGTTACTAGATTAATTATTAACTATTATAGCGTATTCTTACTATACGCAAAATTCTCTTAGAAAAGCTTAGTAAACGTTTAAAAAGAAGGTTAATAGCTTTATACTAGTACTTTATAAGTTCTATAGATACGTAGTAACTAAAATCTAAAAAGTATAAGATAGAAAATAGTAGTAGTAGTAGAAGTAGAGGTTAGAGTAGCTAAAAGTCTAGAGATTAAAAAAGCACGCTATCTCTCTTTTTAGTAATTCTATACTATTTATCTCTTCTCTTAATACTATAGTTAGTAAAATATATTAATAACTATAGCTATAGACTAAGTGTATTCTTTATATCTTATTATTAAGAGCTTAATAATAGTTTAATATTAGATAGCTTTGCACTTACTTTATAGTATAAATATACTAAAGCTCTAGAGTAATATAGTAGTATAATACGCCTAAGAAAGCTCTTTATAATAATTATATAGTATAACTTTATAAAGCTTATAAAACTTAGCTATACTAAAAACTATATTAGCTACCTTATAGAGTAGAACCTAATAGAAATTATTAAGCTAGTATAGTAAAGCTAGTGTAGTAAAGAGCTAAGTAGTACTTTACTAGAAACTATTTTAAAAAAGCTTAAGATATAGTATACTCTTAGTGCTAAGCTTATAGTCTTTATTAACTAGTTTAGTAAAGAATATCTCTTCTACTTTAAGCCTATACTATCTAATAACTTCTTATTAGATTAACTTAGAGCTTTTAGATAAGCTTTTAATAAAGCTATATATTATTTCTATAAAAAGCTAGTATTAAAAGATAAAATTACTAATTCTACTAATATAGAAAAAATGCAGCTTACTAAAGCTATTTAAGAGTACTTTATTAAGCTTTTTAAAAACACAAAGATAGTAAAAGATATAGTAAGTATCTAAGTAGTTTATAATAATAAATTTTAATTTATCTATATAAGCTATCTATAACTATTAGTATATATAAAGAGACTTAAAATCTATACCTATTATTTACTTTAAAGCGTAACTTTTACTCTAAGTAGTAACCTCTAGTGTATCTAGATAAGAAAAACAAAACGTTGTTAAAGTGTGTTCTACTACCTAGAGTAGAATTTACTAAATCTACTATAGACAAGTTGTACGCTTATATTCTTATACTTAAGTAATATAGAGACTATTATAAACGTATAGGTATTACTTAATTACCTGCTTATTTTAGCAATACTTGTAATAATTACTATCTAGTCTTTTGTCTTGTAAACAAGTTTAGCTATGTCTTTAATGCGATCTAGAGCAAACCTTACTACGCAGAAGTAGAAATTCTGTCTGCTGCGATAACAGACTTCTGCTAGTGGGACTACTTCTAGCTAGAGACTATAATCCTTAGCTAAGGAAAACTTTGTGGTCTCACGTCTTTACGTTAGCGTATCTTGCCCTGACCCTTATAGTAGTAATAATTCAGTATTTCAAATCCTAATCATGTCCACGAGACCCCATTCACGTTTATTCCGCACCCGCTACGGCCCTGTCACACTCCCATCCGTCCCCACAATCACCGTCCTCGGTGCACACGCCATAAATAAATGCTCGTCCTCCGCAATCTTCTTCGCCGCCTCCGGTGCGCTGATGATGCTCATGAACGTCAACGCATGCGTCATGTCTCGAAACTGCATGGTTGCCATGGAGTCGTAGTCGACGGGGGAGCTGGCGTTTACAAAGGCAGGGTTACCGCCAACGTAGTATCGTGTGTGGATGACGGGGAAGTTTGAGCCCGTGAGCGACTTGACGAGTGGGATGTGGACGTTGTCGTAGTGGTCGGCGTATTGGGTTAGGTTGAGACCCGGGAGCATGGTGCCGAAGACGAGGGCGGTGAAGTAGGGGAGCACCATTTTGGAAGTTTTCGCAGCGCGGGATAGGTTGGGACTGCTATCGTAGAAAACGTAGGAAGTATAGAAGGTGTATGGGTATGGTTATGGTGAGGAGGGTACGTCCGAGATGTTATGGAGTGAATGGTACCTTCTTATATCGCTATCTCAATCATCAACTCGAAGCTGTTGGAAGGAGCGATAAGTTCATTTAAATGCCCTGTTGGCTCTAACTGCCACGAGCGTACATTCCACGGGGCTTCTCGGTAGAATGCATAAGCCAGCATTCCAGCCGGACGCCACCACCGAGGGCTTCCCGAATGTATCGATTATACAAGAGCGTATACCCAGCTAGAACGCCTAGTTTACCATGCCTATATCGCTTCGGGGATGGATCGCGAGGCGAGGCATTTGCGAGGTTACCATGAGGGTTATCCAACTCCACTATTATCGGAGTTGTCGGAGCAATCGCGCTTCCGTACATCATGTTACGACCCACGAATCCTTGTGAGTTGGGTTGTTTCCGCTCGCAGTCGCGGCGGTTCTTTTGTTGACCGTTCCTGGAGGATCTCGGACTAGGCTGGATTGAGGAGCGTACGCGAAAGTGCGGGGCCAAGGCGGTCGCCGGATCGCGGCAATTGGTGCACAATTGGGAAACGTGGCAGAGAGACGCGCATTACACCCGAGTGCGAAGATGTAAGCAGGCATTGAAGGTAGTGGTAAGTATTGTAGGTATGTCTTGACATCGTCACTTATCGATAAGGGACATGCGAGAGGAGCAGCGATGGTAGCAGGCAATTCGGCGGGCCGATGACGACGCAGCCAGACCCACATTGCGCATGGACGGTAGCGGCTGTAGGAGAAGGGCCGCTCAAGAACATACAATAGGCGCTCCTGTCCGCACGACATCTCCTGCTCTCTAAGCTACATATCTCCACGAGCGCAGTCTTGAACGTTGCCAAGGTGCGCAGCCATGGGCCAAACAACTCTGGGTAGCAGAACACGCCACTTCTACTCGTAGTCGCGACTTCCTCGCGAACGCCAATGTGCACCTTCACACTACACCAGCATAGTGAGGCTAGTAGTCCTCAGTGTTCTCATTATGTCCAAATGTATACCTAGATACCCGCCAGGCCATGCAATCGAATCCCTGCCAGCTGAAGCGAGCTGACAATGGCTGATGACCGGAGGCTGAGCAGCCGTGGCACTCATCACCCCACCAAGGCATCAGTTCGCGCGTTATCCAGGCTCAGCCTGATGCCATCCAAAACTCATACCCCATAACTACTCAGATCCTAGGACAAGTACACGACTACATCAATATACCTGTGCTTCGCAATACAGCTGTTTCGCACACCAGTGACATGTTTGGCCTCCAACGCGACTCGAAACGCCACCATGGTCACCATCTTACACCCCAGGACGCCAATGCAGGTCGAACCCCCAGAAAGCGATATGTAATCTCTCTGGATGGCAAGAAGCGAACTGATCATTCTTACGACCGAGGCTACCGTTCCGACGATGAACCAAGACGGCGACTCAGGCATGATGGAAACAAAGATCGATACCGCGCAAGCTCTTCGCATCGGCCATACGACCTGAAATATCGTCCATCAGAGGGTGACGGCGAATTTGGACGAGCTATCTCCCCCGAAAGAGTGCATTCATCATCACACGCTATAGCATACGGCGAATTTCGCTTTGATGATCCTTACGTCACACAAGATATCTATCCAACACTGATCCCGGCAACGTCAGAACTACTGCCTCCTTACCTGGTTGATCATACTAGCAATCAAGTTGGGAGAGCTCAGTACCAGGTGCGAGGGTACGGATTAACTGAACAAGCCGCACGACCCTCTCGGCAGTTCTCGCAAAATGCGGTTCATGGCGATTATCGTGAGAGCTATAGTGTATACGATGAGACCTTGGGGCAAGACATTCATGGGAAGTCAAGATCTCATAGCAGAATGTACGGCGAGCATCGCTTTTTTGATGAGGAGCAAAGGACAGGAGCATCGTCAACAAAGCCATTTCGTCGAGACACCCAACACGTGGCGAACTGGTCATTACCAACACTTCTTCCAACCAACGAACCAACGCCTGCGTCAACTTTCGGAAACGAAGGCAACGTTGGTACTGACAGTCAAGATGGCATCACTGGACAAGCCACCTGCCCGCCAATTAACGAGCAGCTTGTTTATCATGTATCTCTGCCCTCGAGGGTGCGAGATTCAGCACTCACTTGCGAAGAGCGCATTCTGCAGGGGAATTTCGACACTCGACCGTCTACATCTGCTTCCAGTGAGGCATTCAGCGCAGATACGAAGCTTCCACGCCTTTCTGTCTCACAGTACCCATTCGATGCCATCACCCCTACTGATACAATGTCTGCGGCAGACGAAGATATGCCTGGACCTCAATCGGCCTCAGTGGTTTCTAAACCTTCCTCAAGGATGCCCTCACGATCTCCATCACTATCTGGATCCGGGGTACTCGGCCCAAGAGTATATCTGTATCAACCACTGCGTGCCTTTGAGATCCGCCTAGTCAGAGTTCTACCGGAAAGAATGTGGAAGCTTAAGTGTGAAATCGTTCATGTACCGCTCTATAACGCGCCAGAGTACACAGCTATCTCGGTAAGTTGTTGTCGCAAAGCCAGAATACCTGCTGATATGAAGCCTGTACAGTACGCTTGGGGTGATGGGGTCGATACGAGACCGCTTGTGCTTGAAGGCGCGACAATCCCTGTTGCTGTCAGTCTTCATGACGCGCTGAGGGCAGTGCGTCGTAAAAGGGAAGAAGTACTTGTGTGGGTCGATGCTCTGTGTATCGATCAACAGAACAAAGAAGAGCGGGCCACCCAGGTCCGATTGATGGGTCAGATCTACAGTGGTGCTGTCTCAGTTGCCATTTGGATAGGGCCAGAGTACGAGCAGAGTGCCTTGGCTCTACAACTACTTCGGAAGGTAGCCGAAAGCTCAGTTGATCCGCAATACATCAGGTCCACCCGTAACCCAGACTCTCTGGCGCTCCTGAACCTATTCAAGCGAGATTACTGGAAACGATTGTGGGGTAAGTACTCATGCCGCAGTTTGTTCACGATCCGTACTGACCGGGATCAAGTCGTACAAGAGGTCCTTCTCGGACAAGAGAAATTGGTATATTGCGCACATTCGGTGTTTCCTTGGGAAGTATACTTGAGGGCCGCGGAAATTTTCTGGGACCAAGAGAGCGATCCGCATATCCGCCAAGGGCCAACAAGCTTCCCCCACCGCGAAACTTTGAAGCAACTTGGAGACGAGTCGCTACTACAGGTGATGCGAACATGCAGGAAGAAGTTAAGCGAAAATCCACGTGACAAGGTTTTCGGCGTCCTCGGTTTGCTTTCGGACGCTACACAACGTGATTTTCCTGTCGACTACAGCCAGTCAGTCAAGACAGTCTACACAGACGTTGTCGATCACCTGATCTCGACCACCGATAAGCTCGACGTCATTCGCGAAGCGATACAATTTCCTCTGCACGTCAACTCTACTGGCCTTCCAAGTTGGTGTCCTGACTGGTCTCATATCCCTGAGGTATCTGGTCTAGGGAGCACGCTCAATTTTGCAGCCTCTAGCAACGCGAACGGCGCAACCAAGGCCCAGTATTGGTTTCACGACGAACGGCGAAAGCTCCAGATTTCCGCAATCAGTATTGATACAATCACAGCAACAGGTGTCGCGGTGGGCACATTCTGCGCTGCTCGAGACTATCTAGCGGCGTTTCTACAATGGCGCGCGATGCTGCTGCACGAGCTCAAGGTGAAAGAGGGCGATGACGCGCACCCAATGCACAGCTCTTTCTGCAGGACCCTGTGTCTGGGACAGGTACCGCCAGACTGGAGTCAGTCAAATATGTGGCACAACCTCTGCTACCACGTCTTCGCAGCTCTGATACGCGAAAGAATGCCTCGCTTACCGATGGACGAAGATCTCAAGCGCCATGTGGGTACGACAGGGCTCATCGAGCCCAAGGCACGGCGCACTTTCCTGCAAGACCATTTCGGCAACCGTATGATGGGACGAAGCCTGTGTATTACAACAGGCGGCTTGATTGGTATGGGTTCGGGCTACATGACAGCGAAGGATGTTGTTGTCGTTCCGTTTGGTTGCTCCACGCCCATTCTGCTCCGTCCAGAGGGCGGTCACAACGAGTATAGGTACGTGGGTGACGTCTATATCGATGGGTACATGCACGGCGAAGCCCTGGCTCAAATGGAAGCAAGGGATCCAAGGAGAGTGGTTTCTAAGTACATGCTCTGTTGATGTATGGACGGTTGTACTACACCATGGATGTTGCGGATGTACTGCGGCGTTTTGGCGATCTCGATGCACGAGCTTCGAGTATAGATAATGTAAAGATGTCAGAAATGATACATACGACCATAGGATCATGAGAATTAGGCTTCCCGTCCGCTCAGCCATATACAAGCATGATACCGGCGCATTAGTACTCGGGTGGGTGACCACCGGGGAATACGCGCTGTTGTATGTTTTGCTCTTTTTTGCGCCATTGTGGTGGCGGTGATTCTTTTTTTCTTTGCGCACGTTCGCCCCACCAGTCCAAAGACCCACCACGAAGCTCTCAAGCACGAACACCACTCATCGTCCACCAAGCTACTGAGATACCAATTATTAAAATGAGGAACTCTAAAGCATAGGTTTTATTAGAAGGAGCGGTTTCCTTGGCCTTGTGGGACGTAGCATCTTGCCGGTGTGCACTTTGTCGACGTTGAGGAGCCCGTCGTTTCTTTTTGTGAGGGAACGCAGGCTGCGGAAGAAGAAGGTGGTCGCGTGGTTGTCGCCCTGAAGTGGGTTGTTCTTGTTGAGCTTTGAACTCTTGCCACCTGCGCTCTTCGGCTTCGTCCCAGTGACAACCTAGCCAAGCCGATTTGTCCTTCTTGAGCACGTACTGACCGAGCGTATATCCATCTGGTGGACAGCGCACTTTAGGTGTCCACTTTGGGTGTTCGGTGTCAAGATAGGCGACGTCCTCGCCCTGGCTGTCTTTGATAGAGCCGTAAGATTTGGGGCCGCCGGTACCCCACGCGACAGTGTAACCATCGTCGAAGACTAGAGGTGACCCAAGAAGGTTGCATATAGCGTCAGGCGCATGCAAGACCTCGTGGAGTACGAGAGTTCCGTGCGAGGAAGCACCTGAAGCATCGGGCGAGCGTGTTGTCTGAATTTCGACGCTTCCTATTCCCAGCACGGGGATGTAATTGCGATCGGAGAAGTATTGCGGGGAGGCATCCACTGTTGATTTGAAAGGCGTGTATGTTTTGAACCAGCCTCGATCTTTTGCGACGCTGGTAAACCGGTAATCAACATCTGATGCTTTCGTGTCACCTATGACACACTTACTGTACGTTGGAAGTATTCACAACGACCCAGTCGGGGCATAGTGGTGCGTTGGTATCCGGATCCATCTCGTAGTCAGATTGATAGGTGTGGCTCTTCACACAGGTCTTCCTGATGAACGGGGCTGGATGAGACGTAGCCCAATGATGAGTATCCTCCTTGATGTGATGGTGGGAGTGAGCGGTCGTGCGATCCCAAGATTGTTTGCTGCGCGCGATGGTCCCTGCTCAGGTGAGGGCAGGCGCCGTATTAATTAACCAGAAGCTGTCACGCTAACTTATAGTACAACCACCCCACATGCAACTCCACCTCCAGGGCTACATCTGCGAATTGTCCACTGCTGCTAAGCCCTCACCACAATGACCACCAGACGATTATGTTTTAGGACAGCAATCCTCACAACCTTCTCATGAAGCTCGACCACCGACTGCGATGAAACAAGACGCGACGCTCTTTCTGCGACGCGTCACACTATCTACAAAGTCTCCGATAGGGACTCGGTAATCGGCGTGCTGGAAGAGCTTCACGCGTCGATTGTACGTGTAATCCCCAAGGTCATGGTATACCGAAAAGATCGAGGAGATATTGTATGTGAGCATAGGATTGAGCTAATGGCGCAAATACAGGACCCACCGATACACCGGCTTGAGATACAGCAGGCTATGCGTATAAACGCTCGAGATGGTGGGCACCTTTACGATACGCCCCTGTCCTTCAATCGTGCCTCCGCCCAAGCTCCAAGGTCGCCGAAAAACCTCTCAGATTCACCACCATGCCAGTCGCGCAACGCGAACCACAAATATCGCACGTCCCGTCCTGCTTTGATAGCGGTCTCGAAATCTGGCGCATGCGTATACAGTTGCTGTTGTATCAGAGGTCAGCGCACAATCATGACGAGCGCACTTCGGTGTTGACGAACTTTGATATAATGCTGCGACCATGCGGTATATACCTCCATCTCTGCAGCTTCTGGCGATGGAGGTATTCTAGTGACAGCCGGCTCCGCGCGCTCATCCGCAGTCAGATCTACAGGACTCACCGCGACCATTGGGTCGGCTAGAAGTGCTGGGACGATACACGCCGTTTCCCAATCGTACAACGACGTTACCCGAGGCTTGCCGCTATCATCTTCGGCGATGGAAGTATTGTGTATTCCAAAATCGCCGTGCTCGAGCACTAGCCTGTACAACACTTCGGAATCCTCTTGAGGCAGTAGATATGGTATCGCTTTGAGGAGAGAGTGCTTCGCTGCTAGTGCGACAGGTCCTACGATTTCCTCGTCATCTTCCCACCCAATCATGTCGCCTTCGTTCTTGATTGTTGCTTCAATCTTTGACTCCATGACATGTATCCAGAAATCGCGAGTAGGCGCAACGGGTAATGTGAAAGCATCCGGCTTGAAGTCAAAGATACGGCCGTGCAGGTGCTTGGCTGCAAAGTCAGACGGTGGGCAAAAGTTGAAGAGAGCGGCACGCATGCGTGCGAGTTGATCAAGGAGAACGGTCTGAGAGTCGTTAGCACATCTCAAGCGCTTCGAATAGTGACTCATACCTTTGACTCAGCATTGAGCCCTTTCCAGATATTGTTTGTGCCGTCTGATCGTTCGAACACAAAGACGCGTCGACCCGAGAGATCTGATGGTATCTGGTTTTTAGGACCTGGTTTGAGGACAGGTGCACGGTAATAGAGCAGTCGAGACGCGCGGACATCTGCTTTATTCCGCAACAGTTCATACGTGGCTGCTTCAAACAGAACCTCAGGAATCTGCCGCTCCACAGCGAAGCCGTCGAAACCTGGCATATTAACGTCGCCACGGGCCAGACGAACTACAATGTCTGGTCCATCTCGCACCATGAGGTGGAAACCCTGATTATATGTCAGAAGAATGTACCTGGCAGGGAATCTCTAGCTCGGTATTATCCAGTTGCGATTTCGTCTTCGCTCGGCCTATAGATAATCTTGAGCCGTAAAACCACATCAGCTGCCCCCAAATTAAGCACAGAATTGCACGTACATAGTTGTTGGAGCCTTTGTCAATGGTCGGAATGTCGGTCACTTGAACATGAAGCTTCTCTTCAATTTCTGCGATGAGCAACTTCACGTCCCATACGTTTTTGAAAGGGCTGACATCATTCCGAACCAACTCCAGAAGCTGCTTGCCGTCGTATTGTTCGCCATCAGGTCCTAGGGGCCATTCGTCTCGCCAACTCATTGTGATGATATAGCTTGCGATCTGCGTTGGTATCGTTGATATCTGTACAACAGGAAGAAGGTGGGCAGGCACACCAACTTGGAAGCATACCTAGGTAGGCAGCCTCGCCAACCGATCGTAGCACAAAGAACCCAGAACGGCCAACGCACCGTGCATTGCCTGATGCAACGAAAGCATAACCCCCCAATCAAGATCCGCGCTTCAGGTGCAGACTGTTGCCTGATATGCGAGGTTGAAGGGCAACCCTTGTGGTTACGCCTGCCGCGCCGCTCCTCGGCAGCCCACTCCGCGCGCCTAAAGTGACCAGGTGAGATCGGTACATAGCGTCTAAACAACCTCAGGAGTCTTCCGAAACCAAAATTTCTCCTTCATCCTATAATACGGTATGTAGTGACGGGCTTCCCATGTAAGAGTCTCCGTCTTAGTGTCAAGTGGCATTTATTCATATTCGCAAGGCGTTGCCGCTGTTAAACCAAGAAACAATGCGTCATGTATGCGAGTTACGAATATTGTACTTACAACGCCTCGCAATGTTAAAGGTCTTCGCATTCTGCTCTTTTCCTCGGTGGATCATTCCCTGCATTCGCGCTTCACATCCACAACCTAAATACGAGATCACCAACGCTGAACAAAGACACGGTCACCCTATTTCCGCCGTTTTCGAATTTCAAGATGCAGTAGACGTTTGAAGAAGCCGTTAGACTGCATGTGGTTCTTTGAGTCGTTCAATGCAATAGTTGGGCTTGAAACTTCGACGCAATCTTGAGATGTTTCAACCGTCCTTCAACGCCAGATCTTCTTTCAAAAGCTACCACTTGGCAGTCCCTTATTGATCTATGGTTCTAGTACAACGGAATAGGATGAATCCACTGGCCCTATATGCAGAAGCACCATCACTTCTAGACTTGTCAAGAAAACATAAATACATCAGTCTTTCCCCTGAAGTTGGGGACTCTAAACAGAACAGAAATTTTCCAACATGGCATCTTCTTATTGCAGTCTCTACAACGAGCTTCCCTCGCTGGACGAAGCCTCTAACACGTTTCAGGTCAGTTCCTTCTACGAGCCATATGTGTAACTGGGGCCGATGTTGATCTAAATACAGACTCAGCGAATCAATGACCTCTTGGAGGGACCACTCCGCGAGGTTTTCCTCAAGTACGGAGCGCAGAAGGCCTTCACGCTTTATTTGCAGCATCGACACCACAAGCTGCAGCAGAATGAGACCATTGTCAAAGTTCATGGTACCGCACACTTGATGAGCGAGGACAATATAAAGGACATCGAATCTATGGGAAATAAGATCATCCCCACTACCTGGATGGGTGGGATGGTCCCTATGGAGTTCGCTGTAGTGCCGAAGACGTAAGCCTACCCCTTCCGACCCGAAAGTGGATCCATTTGACATGTTGTGCTTATAGACAAGCCGACCCTAACATGCCCCCCAATTTTCTCGAGGAGTTGAACGGCGTGCTAGTATCGAACGACTGCGAAGGGGTTTTCGGGGTCGATACTTTGATTGAGGATGACTGGACGGAGTTGACTATCGGCACTTCAAGTGTTGTTGTATCGAGCGATGGTTGCGAGAGAGAGGAATATATCCCTGTCGCCTTCGCTTTCGACGAGAGCAAACCTGGCTTCAGGGTTCATGGTAAGTGTGGCAGAGACCACAGGCATACGACAAGGCCATCTTAATCGCCGCAGTAGTAGTAGGTAGTAGCCGGATAGGCTCAGTGGGACGCGAACAGGTTATGTAGACGAGTGAATGCATCGTTTTCTTGGAAAGAAAGATCTTATACTGACATCTCAGAACATGAAATAAGAGAAGATGAACACCACGACCCATTGTGATTGTTGTTATGCCGACCCTTTCCGAAACTTGTCTTGTGCTCCTTGGAGCAGGTATGGAGAAAACGAAAGCGGTTCTTCGACATCGCGATGCTTAAAATAAGTTGCCATTCCTTGGGCGTACGATGGTAATGGAGACTATACTAACGTGGAGAATGTAGGTTCGCGCCCGTGGAAGCCCACGCGTCGAAGACGCGCCCGTGGAAAAGTGGGTCTTGTGACGTCATGCCGACGCGTCGCCGCCCGGGCGGTGCGTGGAATTTTGGCAAGTACAACGCGAATCCTTCTGATTATTCACCACGCAGCGCCATAACAGCAATAACCCTGAAGGAGCAACGCATTTAGTCCAGAAGTCATGAATTAAGCAACTCAATCCAATGGTATAGGTCGTGTATCCATGAATAACGTGATCGATTTAAAGAGTGGCACGAGGAAATGGCACGCGCTTACCAAACCCTACACTTTCAAAATTGGACAAATACATCAACGAAAGGAAGCGCAACTACGAAAAAACTCGCAAGCCAAATTGACTTCATCACAGATAACCCGCCCAAGACTGCGCTGCCGAAGCCGCGTTCGCTGCAGCAATTCCTCCGGCGACATCGCCCTTTGAGCTACCCAAGCCAATCTCGAAGCTATCATACCCACAGCTAGTTGGTGCGCCAGCTTCAGAGCCATCCAAGCCAGGAACGATCTGCCAGTACAACTTCAACGTATGTCAGCTTGCGATTCATCAAGGTTTCATAATCATCATGCTTACCCAAGGAACTCCAGCATCATTGAACACTTGGACCTGCGTATTAAAAGAGTCCTGGTAGTCGACCGAGACGCCCCACTCTTCCATCATGATGTTCTTACCTGCAGCTCTGGCTCCGCTCAGGACTTCCCTGTCGCCGGTGATGTAGTAGGCCCAGTCGGAAGCCTTGCTCATGTATCCGTGCATACTAATGATGTCGATGGCATCGCACTGCATAGCCTTCTCCAACGTGTTGAACTCATGATCACAGCAGTAGTGAGAACCGCCGACACCGCCTGTGGCAACCTTGATGTTGGAGGATCCAAGAGCACTGCGCAATGCTCCAGCACGGCCACACAGCCAGTCGTCCGGGTCATTGGCGTTCAACAGGTCGATTTGCCCGATCAGCGGCTCATTCTGGAGGTCGAAAGCCATGATGACCTCTTCCATATCTTTCCAGGCTTTGCCGAAGTTCGGTGACTGGTAGTTTAGCATCTCGTTGAGTCGGTTGTCGTAGTCTGCTTTGGCGTTGGATGAAGAATAGAAGGTAGGTGCGTCGCCATACTTCTGACAGTATGCGTCACATCCCGCGCTGCCGCCCAGTGTATTGGCGTTATGAGGAGATATGATTGCCTTCATACCGTTGTCGTGCATGAGTTTGAGAGTATCGTCGAGCTTATCTAGAACGGTGGTATCGTACACACCAACCGTCGCTTCGAAAGCTGGCACGTCATTCTCGATGGTGCTGCCCTTCAAGCACCCTGTGGCAACGTTCGTCGCTGCAAAACGATTGTCAGTTCTGCAGATCTTCCCTCAAGCTCACTGCTAAGAGGATGCAGAATTATTTCAAGGGTGTTTAGATGCTACTCACCCCACAGCCTCAGGACCTTGGCGCCCCATCCAGCAAGAGTTTCAACATACTCCTTCTGCTCGGATGCAGAAAGCGCATGGAGAAAGTACTCATTACTTCCTGCGAATGAAGTTGAAGCTTGCCTGCGAGTTGGTACCAAACCGTTGACTACCGTTGTCGATAGCCCCAGCAAGGAAGTGATAGCCACAAGGCTGCGCATCGTGAAAGTTGGTGATGCGTAGATGTATACGAGTTATAAACAGATGTGGGTAGTAATTGGTGAGTAATTTAGTCTTTGCATGCCAAAGACTATATATGCCATGGTGGCCATCCAGGTCAACCTTGCGAGGGGCCGAATACAGTTGAATGCGCCTGTGTTGATGGTTTGGAGACATATGGGGCCAGCCTTGCCAGCCACGTTCGCCGTGGCATCACCTCAAATTACCAGCTAATTTTATCGCATCGAAAGTTTACGGGTGAGCTAGCCTTGACTGTGGTGGCTGTCTGTGACAGCTGCGGGAGTGTACCCACGGACGCTGTGCATGCAGCTGGGCCGCCCCAAAGGCCGCCCCTATTGGCCCGATCGAAACTCTAGAGATAAATGGCGACGCATCCGCCGGATTCAGTCAATGGCAGGCACCGAAGAGAACGCCATGTTCTCACCCGTCCCTATCAGACCCCGATCATTTCTCGTTCGGCGTTGTTGCTGCTGCACAATTCTTCAGCCTTGCCGGTGTGTTGAGGTGAAAGTCTATTTATGCGTACATGGGCGTCCAATCAGAGTTCAGCCGTCTCGGGTTCAAGTATGTGCATACACATGCCCGTGCTATCACATCAAGACATCCATTTCCAGCGAAGGAAGGCTGGGGTAATTTGCGACATGTGCGAAAACGCCCTGCGTACAAAATACGCCGGTCCGCTGCCAACCCAGCTTTCTCCACAACTTTTCCCTTAGCCTTCCCGTCGTGAAAAAAGAAGGCTTGTATCGATTTATCTCCCCAGCAAGATACGCTAGCATACACCAAGATGTTTGGTAGCCGAGGCTTTCCCGCTCTTGCTCTTCTTTTAGCCCTGGTTAGCGTAGCAGGCGCTAGTGGTCCTACGAGTATCTTCATTGATCAGATTGAAGAATACAAGCTACTCGCAACATGTGCCGAGCTCGAGTTGTCGACTATCGTGCGTAACATGAAATGGGGGTGTGGGGATGGCGGCTCATACCAGTCGTTTACTTGCTGTAAGTTGACATTATGGAACAAAGCTTGCGGCTGCGACATGCGCTGACCTCGTGATTTCCGCCTCACAGTCTGCTACGAGAGCTCTGCCAAGTTCTCCAGCATGATTGGAGCTCATGTCATGACCCAGTGTCCAGACGACCCTTCGCAGAATACGACGGCGCTGGAGGTGTTTAGCAGCTATTGTGACATCGGGGGCTCCAAGTTGGCAGAGATCGAGGGTGAGTAGTCCCTTGTTCTGGGGTGAGAAAGCGACGAGCTGACATGGCGATAGCCGCTACAACATCGGTACCAGCAACAACGTCATTGCCATCATCATCCTCTGCATCTCCAG